CCTGGCCAGCTTACAAAGTGTATTTTCAAACATGTGTTGAAAACAATAACTGGACAGACAAAGAAAAAGCTCAGTATTTAGCCACCAACCTAAGAGGAGATGCCCAGCAGATTGTCCTGGAGTTGGAGAGTGGCTACTGTTATGAGGACCTACTGGAAGCCCTTGAAAAGAGGTTTGGCCCGGGTGGCAAGGCCGATGTGTATGAAGCAGAGCTGTGCAGTCGAAAAAGAAAGCCTAGAGAATCTTTGCAAAGTCTAGGGCAACACATACGACGACTGACCTCCATGGCATACCCGGAAATGAGCCGGGATGCTCAAGATAGGCTCGCTCGCAGGAGCTTTGAACAAGCAATCCCAGATGAGGAGCTAAGGCGAGCCATACACAGAAAGGAGCCATCAACATTAGACAAGAGCATAGAGATTGCTCTCAGAGAGGAGAGCTACCAAGAGTCCGAGAGAATAAGACAGGGACTTAAAGGAAGGTCAAAGGAGCAAAGCATCTGCAGTGTTGAAGAAGATTCTAATGAAGTTACCAAGCTGATACAGGGATTAAAGAAGGAATTGCTGACAGAAATGAAGAATCTTTTAAAGAAAGAAGAGAGCCTGAAACCTCCAGTGAGAGATGGTATGAGGTATCCCTGCAGGAGCTGTGGAGAACGTGGACATTCAATGACCACTTGCTCACAAACTAAGTGTTACAACTGCGATGGATTAGGGCATATTGCCACAGCTTGTCCCGAGCCTCAGCGACCTAGAACTGAATCAAGATTCAGTAATGTCAGCCCTATTAGGTTTTTGACCAATAACGGTGTTGACTTACAGCCTGGCAGCAGACCAGTGGTGCGGAAAATCCTTGCTGATGCAAAGTTTTGTGGAACTTCAATGCAGTTCCTCATTGATTCCGGAGCCGTGCGAAATATGATCAGCATGGAGAGCTACAACAAAATAGCACAACATCGACGACAATGTTTGAAGCCTCCGTCTCAAGTATTTGTACAAGCTGATGGATCTCCCCTTTCTACATATGGCGAGATTACTGGAGAGATAAAGATTAAAGGGAGAGCAACATTGATCACCGCAGTGGTGGCTGACATTGCTCAAGCTGGTATTCTTGGTTTGGAGTACATGTCCACCAGTGGAGCAGTAATAAACTTCAACAAGCTGGAGATGATTTTTGATGATGAGGCAGTGCTTGAGCAATGTCATCTGCAAGATGAGCAGACTCACACTACAACCAAGAAGACGTCACCCAAAGAGCGGAACAAGCAGAGGCAGCCATCCTCGGACAGAGCCCCACCACTTCTGCCTTTGCGAAGATCTAAGAGAAATGAGAAAAGAGTAACATTTGCAAAGGTTGTGGAACAGAACAAGAAGACAAGGTTTGACAAGAATGTGAACAAAGAACCAAGATACAGGATGAAAGAAAGAGAAAATGATAAATCAGCGATGAAGAACCAAAGAGAGTCTTTGGCAGACACTGGTAGTCTTACAGTGACTAGGAAAAGGAGAGGGCAACTTTCCAGGTCACAACCCGGGCCAAGGACACATGAGAGAGCTCATAACAAAAGTCCTCCAGGAAAGGAGTATGCTAGAGAAAGTCCTCGGCACGAGGAGGATAATTTCAGGAGCTTTTCATACCACAAGGAGCCTCCTGGTATGAGCTCCTCGTACCAGAAGAATTGTCCTCCTAAGAGCTCGTCATACAAGGGAGATTTTTTTTCAAGATCTCCTCACGCCAGAAAAAAAGAAGTCCAATTAGCGCTCCTCTTTGGAGCATACCTAAGTCAGCGAGCAAAAGACCGAAAGACAAAGAGCCTCAGAGAGCTGATGAGCTCTTCCTTTAAGAAGAAACTAGAAGTTAGCAAGTGAAGACAGTGTTTTATGTGAGGGCACATAAAAGCTAGAAGGGGGGTATGTGGGAAAACTTCATTTTTTGTGTTTATCCTTTTTAATTTTCCCCACTGGTGCAGTTTTATGTTTAATTGGTCCATTTATGCAAGGGATAGGGAAACCCCTGCTCACAAGTGGGTATTCCAAGACAGGAAGGGGATTCCCCTCAATTGCTGCAATGCAGTGCCCCTGATTTCAAAATGTGTTCACCTGTGCCTATGACTCATGCCATCACATGAGAAAAAAGGAAGGTCGCCATCTTGAATGAAGCAGTGTGAATTGAAGGTTGGAAGAAAATCTACAATTATCGTGCTTTGGAGTAGCCATCAGCCAGTGATTTGGGATTAGTTAAGAAGGATAAAGCGGGAAGACACACCAGGACGTTTTAGAAGGAGAAACAGGAGAGGAAACTCGAATTTTTGGGCCTAAGAGAAAGCAGCACTGATTCGGGTGAGATTTTTCCTTTTTGTTTATGTGATTTTATGGCCAGCATGCTACTAGATGCCTCTGACTGACTATAACTTTGAATTTCAAGTGTACCAGAATTTGTGACTTTATGATCAGCATGCTACTGAGATGCCTCTGACTGATCGTAATTTCTAGTTCATTGGGTATCCAGATCTACTGTGTGTCGCCATTTTGTGTCCCAGGCTTTCTAAGTTAGTGAGATATTTGTTAGATTTAATTGAAAGCAAGAATAGCTTCATACTTCCATTCTTAAGAGTGCTGTAAAGAGATTCAGAGCTCAGTGTTGTCCTTGAGGAAGCAGCAAGGAACATTCTGGAAGCAACCTTGCATTACAGTTAGTTCGGTTCCACCACTAGCTGTAAGGTGCAATTGAGAAACTTCCCAACACAGAGAAGTATTTTGTCAGTTGGTTTCACCGCTGACAGAAGTAGTTCCAGGAAGACTTCCATCGCATCGAGCAGTGAGGAGCCTCCCTGGAAAAGTCAAGAGCCATAGAGGCAGAGCAAGGCTAAAGAGCCAGAAGAGTCACAGTGGACTATTTTGTCAGTTGGTTTCACCACTGACAGAGATAGTTCCAGGAGGACTTCTAGAGCAACGAGCAGCTAGGAGCCTTCCCAGCAAGCTCAAGAGGAGCCAGGCTAAAGAGCCAAAGAGCTGAGCGAAGAGCCAGAGGAGCCACGTTCAGGAGCCAGGCTAAAGAGCCAAAGAGCTGAACGAGGAGCTAGAGGAGCTAAGTTCAGGAGCCAGAAGAGCCAAGCTCAAGAGGAGCCAGGCTAAAGAGCCAAAGAGCTGAACGAGGAGCCAGAGTAGCCAAGTTCAGGAGCCAGAAGAGCCAAGCTCAAGAGGAGCCAGGCTAAAGAGCCAAAGAGAGCTGAACGAGGAGCCAGAGGAGCCAAGTTCAGGAGCCAGAAGAGCCAAGCTCAAGACGAGCCAGGCTAAAGAGCCAAAGAGCTGAACGAAGAGCCAGAGGAGCCAAGTTCAGAAGCAGAAGAGCCAAGCTCAAGAGGAGCCAGGCTAAAGAGCCAAAGAGCTGAACGAGGAGCTAGAGGAGCCAAGTTCAGGAGCCAGAAGAGCCAAGCTCAAGAGGAGCCAGGCTAAAGAGCCAAAGAGAGCTGAACAAAGAGCCAGAAGAGCCAAGTCCAAGAACCAGAGGAGTCAGGAAAGAGCTAACGAGCCATAGGAGCTGAGCCAAGTTTACGGGCCATAGGAGCCATAAAGAGGCAGAGGAGCCGAGTAAAGAGCTTAAGAGCCATAGGAAGCAGTAAGAAAGCAGTAACGGCCACTACCAAGCTTATAAAGAGAGATCAAAGTGACATTTTAGTCTATGAGCATTAAAGTGTGTTATTTTCTTGTATAGTTAGTGTGTGTTAAAATATATGTATTAAATTTGGAGCCATTTGTGACTGTCGTTTCATCCAGTCCACCAAACCAGGACTGGGCCCACAAAGAAGTATTAGGTAGAAAATTACTCATCGCTTCCAGACTATCGGCAAAAGTCTGGAACGCGACAATACATAATATAACAATTGAGAGATCCATTTCAGTGACAAATGAGGTGTGTTCATAAAATTGGTTATCAAACGCACTGAACGTGCCAATTATGAAAGGTGATTTTGGGAAATCCCCCCTCCCCCTTATGTTACCATAGGTTTTGGACCGATGGTCCTTTGATTGACTTCGTATATCCCAAGTGAAATTTTCACTGGAATATCTTGTTAAGTGATCTGTCACACGTTTACTGGAAAAATATTCATTATGCAAAAAATACAAAAATAAGTGGGCGATAATATATTGTTTGATTTAGTTTTTTGACGACACTGTCCTTGCAGCATTGCGGATCAACTCAAACCTTGAAATATGAAATACATTTACCTGCAATGACTTTATGCAACATGCTAGTTTCTTTAGATTGTCCAAGTAATTGATTATAAAGTAAATATAAAGTGGAAATAATGAAAAAGACTGCCGACAGGAAAATTTTCACTGCGAGATGCATATTTGTTTTGTTCTTGAAATTCCAACTAAGATATTGCATCACTAGCCCTGGGTAGGGTATGTCTAAGTCTATGTCAATAATCTGCAAAAGGCTAATAAGCCCAAATAAAGCAGATATATAATTTAACAATGATAGAATTTGAATAGAATATAATTTAAAACCATAATATTTAAAAATAGATCTATGGTTTACAACTCATTTTAAAATTGAAAGGAACCTTCCTGGTTGGCCCCTGTAAATACAAAGCCCAGAAGGGGTTTCTTATCTGATCTGGGAGAGAAACCTGAGACACAAATGGTCGAACACAATGCATCTTTAAAACACAATGCTTTAGTTGCATGTATGTTGATTGCCAAGGCAAAGGGTCTAAGTCTATGTCAATAATCTGCAAAAGGCTAATAAGCCCAAATAAAGCAGATATATAATTTAACAGTGATAGAATTTGAATAGAATATAATTTAAAACCATAATATTTAAAAATATATCTATGGTTTACAACTCATTTAAAAATTGAAAGGAACCTTCCTGGTTGGCCCCTGTAAATATAAAGCCCAGAAGGGTTTTCTTATCTGATCTGGGAGAGAAACCTGAGACACAAATGGTCGAACACAATGCATCTTTAAAACACAATGCTTTAGTTGCATGTGTGTTGATTGCCAAGGCAAAGTATAATGATTTAAAACTACTAAGACTGTGATTGTCTAACAGGTGTCAACAGGTAGATTGTCCTATTTTAGCCATTGTCCTCTGGAAATAGCTAAATTTGCATAGATCCATTCTTGTAGAGGCCATGTGTTGGCATTGATCTGTTGGTGGCAACAGGGACTTCTATCTCCTGCTGGTTCAAATGATCCATGTGTAATCTCTCATACAAATAGATAGAAATAGGTAAAAATCAGATCTAAAGAGCGATTTGACTCAATTTTATAATATTTTTGACTATTCATGACAATTTTATAGCCGATGGAGCATGGTTTGGGGTAGTTGGGGCTTGTTTTCCTCATTACTTGTACTTACATGTTTTACTTTTCTTACTGTTTTCGTACATATTCTTGAAATCCCCACATGTCTACTTTATTTTGGGAAAACTAGTAAACATTTTTACAATAATGTTTCGATGATTCTCTACATATGTGGTAACCACTATTATCATTTGGGAAAATTTAAACTTTTTAGGCAAAATGTGCATATTTAGGAGATATTGTATAAAAGATTATAAAGAATTGATATATTCGTAGATCAATTGTACATGATGCTCGCAATTTTGAACCCTGTAGCGCCGATTCTACATTTTGCTTTTCATTTTCACCTGCTGTACACTATTTTAAGCATGTGGATTCTTATGGCACTTGATATTTTAATCAACTAATTAAGTAACTAATTAATTTTATCCCAGTACAACTGCAGTAGTCTTTATGGGTGATTTGTATCAATAACATGTCCCATGTTCTTGACAAATTCTATTGACAATTAACAGACCCCCCCGTGGAGATTTCGCCTTTATTATGTGCCACAATTATATATCTAGTCATCAAAGTGTGGGCACGCCTACTGATGTGAAAATGAGTGGCTATTTTTCTCCGATTACAAAAAACAACAATTACACGTATGAGGTAACCAGGTAGCAATATATAAGGCAGTTTTCAGAGACATACCCTGACAAGTTTGCTGACCACTCGGAGTGCTGCAAATATTTTGCTGGAAGCTCACGAACAAGATGAAAATTGCAGAAACCAGGATGGAGGACAAGATGGAAAACATTGCCACCAAAACTGCTCAACTTATCGAGAAATTCAACGCAATAAGAGGTAAATATAACTAAAATTGATAGACATTATTAAACGAGTGTGTTTTTCTTTACGATTGTTATTATTTTATTGGCAGAAACGTGTCATATGGTTTGTGAAAGTAAAATAAGAAAACCCGGAAGAAACTTATTTTTTTCCATTTTGAAAGCAAAAAATATTTTGTATATTTTTTAAGTTTTGCAGATATCGTAACAATCTGCATAGGTTTTCTTCCATTTATTATGACTACTAATCATCCATTGTCTAATAACAGTGCAACACCCACATTTCTTGTTCAAACCCAAACATATTTTTGACAAATCACATCATCAGTCATTTACAGTTGGGGACATAAATAAATGACAGGTGGATTTGCTGAAGTGAGGATTTCCCATGTTAAAAATAAGAGAATTTACAAGAGGCCATAAATCAGTGGATGAGATTATACAAAATGTAAAATATACAAATTTTAAGGGATATGTATCTACAGTGCTGATATATAATAATTAAGGGTGCGTTTTCAAACTAAACAGAGTGCTCCATCAAAATGAATTTGCCTTATCCCGTTCCAGGACCGGGAACAGGATAAAATTTGCCTACATACCCCTGAGACTCTTATCTGATGGATAGAATGCACAAATAAAACAAAAGTTTTGCTATTATAGGTAAAAAGTTCTCTTGAAATTTCGGAGTGATTTTACCTGTTAATTCTGTCCATGGTCCGCCATTTTTGCGGAAGTTACACTGAAAAGCAAACTCGATGAAACGAAACGAAATCACTAGAAAAAACATGGCACACATTGTGCGCATGTGCAGCAAAGTTTAGACCAATCAGATTATTTGATTATGTTGCGCACATGAATTATTTGCTTCTGAGCACTTACAAGCTTACCACAATAAACAAACCTGGCAGAGACTACCCTTAGCCTACTCCATTTTGGCGAAATTTCAGCTCAAACTCGTGACAAATGCATTATACATACGCTGGTGTGAAGCCTTGGAGACACTCATTTTGGTAAATATGATTAATGGGGTATACTTTTCTGCAGTTTGTGGGAGTTTGGAACATTAAATGTTAAAATTCAAGAAAATATGCCAATTAAACGACTGATCAATTAATATATACCAGCACTTTTTTTTGTAGACAATATTGGAAATTATGGGCTTTCAGACCACCATAATTAGGAAATGGTGATCGAAAATCGACCTGTCATTTATTTTTGTCCCCAACTGTACCTACATTTACATGGGCGTAGGGCTATATTTTTAGCTGGTACACCCAAATGAATGGAAATGGAATGTATGATTGCATGGCCAAAGGCCGCGCATCTTGGTGGAGGGTCCAGTGGTTCGCTCCGTACCAGGGCTATAGTCTATAGTCCTGGCACGGGATAAGTTCGCTCATGTAACAGACGCTGTGCCCTTGCTGGAGCAGTTGACCAAACTTTATTCAGTGAAGAATTATGATTGTCAAAGTACCAACAGGTTCTTCATTTAGACTGGGGAATTTCGGGAACATGTTTAAAAATTCGAATCGAGTGTAGCTATAGATCTAATAAAAGAGATCTCTTATTAGCTATACCAGACTCGATTTTTTGTATACAAAAATCGAGTCGAATATAGCTAGACACTACGTCAGTGACAGCAGTGGCCGGAAGGAAATTATGGCTTGTTGAGATATATTCTATTCTACCATCATGACATGGGAGGATTCACCCACTGGATTCACCTTTAAAGGGGCCAATGTCAACCAGTCAACACAGTCAATACAAAACAAAATACATCACAATGGTGGTCAGAAGCAAACTATGGCAGGGGCGTAGCCAGCTTTCAGTCAGGGGGATGTGATCACCTAAAAAATTTGGGTTGTCAGTCAAGGGGGGGGGGGGGGGGGTTGGGGTGCGATTGTGGCATAAACAACCCAAAAAAATTTATCTTGAATTTTACAAAAATTGATGCACCCATAGCACCCCCCCCCCCTGGCTACGCCTACGTAAGAGGCCAAGGGAAAACAAATTTTTTTATTTCAAATTCTTATGGTAATGCAGAATAAACAAAATGTTAAGAAAAAGAGTAACAGCAAGTCTATCATTTTATAGAAAACTAGAGCATGCCAAGTTGCAAAACTCAAAACTTCAAAGCCATTGATTTTATAGCCTATATCATAATGTCAGTATAAAAGCCATAAAGTGTCCCTTTAATTTTTATGTGGAGGCATATAGCAAATATTAAAAATATTTGCTTGTTTTTCTACAGGCTATTGATTGCGTCGTTGAATTTTGAAAAGTATTATTAGTTTTTTTAATTGAATACTTCAAATATGACTTAAAGCTTAATTAAATGTTTTGCATTATGTTTTTCTATTTGTTAGTCTTTCAGTTCAGATACTCTGTTTTAAAGTAATTTTCACAAATTATATACATAATTAACTGGCTCTTTGACCTGTTTTTGTTCGTTAAGGACTGCTGTCTCTTCCTATTGTCAAAGGACTGACTGTGGGAGGGCATTTTTAAATTAATCTAACTTTGTTTTAAAACAACTAAGTAGAATGAAATGCTCAAACGAATCACAACTCAAAAAATTTAAAGAAAACAGCTTCGTTTAGGATGATACCTTTAAGATTAATAAATAGGAGGTCCCCTCGAAGGAGATATGCCTCCTAATAAATATTATGCCTCCTAATAAATATACATAACAACTAGCAACATAATTAATATGAAGTAAATAATGTATTTCAATAAAATGTACTAAAGAAAGAAGCAGAACAACCCTTGATTCAAAGATTTGTGGATTTTCTTTTTTTGATCACCATGTACATAACAAATACTAGGACTACCTTTTATCAGGAATCTGTGAGAGATGTTCCATTTTTGGTCACCCTGTACAGAGTACATAACAACTACCTCATATCAGTAGGATTGAATGAACACAAACCACTTTTTAGGAAAATTAATAACATTAATAATAAATTGCATTTACCTTTAATTTTTGAGGAAAATCTTGAAAGAGCAGGGCTCTCGCCAGGCTTTTAGACTGTGGCGCAGCACCACACTCTATTTAGCTCCCTCCACACCCTATTGGCAAATCATGACTGTTTCCAGTCTAAACTTGACTGAATATACAATAATAGCATGTAAAAAGGATAAAACATAACATAAATATGATTTATCACGACTGAACGGTTATTCTGAAGATGTTAGCACCACACCCTAAATATTTCCTGGTGAGAGCCCTGAAGAGGGATAGATGTTCCATTTTAAGTCACCATGTACATAACAGTTACCTCATACCAGCAGGATTGAATGTATATCGATAAAATGTATTAATAATACATAACATTTACCTCTTTTCAGGAAAATCTGTGAAAGAGATAGATATTCCATTTTGGGACGTGGTCGTCATAACAGCCTCCGATGATGCGCAACGTGAAGCATTTCAGCTCCAAGTATTTGATAAACTTCAACGCAAGGAAATTCCCAGTGATGTCCCATACCATGTTATAGCTGACCCGGAAGGACCAAAGATAGGTAATGCACCTGAAATGTTCATACATTTTCTATGATATCACTCTGATTGGCCAGATTATTTGAAAAATATTTATAAAAGTGCAAAATCACGGGATATCATTCCGTAATTTTTGAGAGGAGCAGGTTGTTTTTAGAAGGAATTTCAAGATTTTCACACAATTTTATTTTTTAAACTCAAAAGCTGCTTAAGCTAACCATACACCAATGGGACATGATGGGACATCAAGGGAGTTATTGAGTAAAATATTTTCATGGGACATGAAGGGACAAGTCCGGACATTCCCATGGGAAATCCTTGGGACATCAGGGGACATTGTCCCACGTTGCCCCTATTTATCGTACCTAAAAAGGTCGTCAGCTTGATGGGTGGGTGGCTTCTTTCTCACTTTCTTGTCATCACGATTCCAGGAAAATCACTTGACGGATTTCCTTCAAATTATTACACATGTTACATGGTATGGAGTTCTAAAGCTGATTAACTTTTTGGTGGCCATCTTGCATTCTAGCGGCCATCATCGAATTTTTTAGATAAATCTTGTCATCCCGATTCCAGGAAAACCACTTGAAGGATTTACTTCAAATTTTTATTGTCCCAAGTTGAGACAAAACGGACAAAGGGACAAAGTCTGACAATGTCCCATTGGTGTACGGCTAGCTTTATTTGTCGATAAAATGAACCAGCACATGAAATTGCAAGGTCACCCATTAAATATCATGTTCTTTCTTATTTACATTAATATTTTGCATATATCTTTCAGGCAGTGGTGGCTCCACCTTTCATGTCTTAGAAGAATTAGAGAATATGTATGGAGACATACTTTCTACATTGAAAATCATCCTCATCCACGCTGGTGGACAAAGTCAACGTCTCCCAAATGCTAGCGTAATGGGAAAAATCTTCACTGCACTCCCACTGGGTGACCCAATGTACCAAATCATCGATCTAAAACTGATGTTGTATTTAGATCTAATCCCGCGCATGGGTCCTGGTGTTTTTCTCGCTGCAGGTGACACGATTGAACTATTCGATCTTGGAGATGATGATGATAATTGGCAATTCTCAAACGAAGGATTCACAGCATTAGCTCATCCATCATCGCTTAGGATCGGGACTGGACATGGTGTTTATGTCGTAGAACAGAAACCGAGGGATTCAGCCAAGATTCTTGAGACTGTTGAATGTTTAGAGGTGTTGCAGAAACCGAGCATTGATACAATGCATGCAAGAGGTGCTGTTATGCAGGGACCCGACCAACAACCATTTGTGTACTCAGATAGTGCATTTTTCTTCACTCACGATGTAGTTAAAACTCTCATTGATTTCTACAGGGCTAACAAACCTATCCAATGTGAAATAGAGGCATATGGAGATTTCCTTTGTGCTCTTGGTCCAAGAGCTACTATCGATTACACTAACTGTACAGCCAATGCTGTTACTGTACCAGAGTCTCTAGTCCCTACACGACAAAAAGTCTTTCACGCATTGAAAGGTCTCCCGCTTACTGTGATAGCAATGAATGTGTCCAGATTTTACCATATTGGTACAACCAAGGAGTACATCAACCATTTTTGCAGCGATCAAGTATTTTCCAAAGAACTTGGATTATCAAACAATGTTTTCAGCTCAGCCTTCAATGCCTCTTCAACAATATCAAACGGGACCCCTTCAACTTTAACAAATTATGATGTCAAAGAGGGTAGTAATAAAGTGAAAACTGGATGTGTCATGCATAGTTCCTATGTTAAGGGGTCTTTCATTCCTGCTTTAACAGTTGTGGAATTTTGCAATTTTGAGACCCCTGTCAAAATAGGCGAAAATTCTATAATCAGCAACTGTGAATACCTCAGCATGAATACACAAACTGTCGAATGCTTAAATATCCCTGGAAATGTTTTCTTACATACAGTTCCAGTTTCTCACAAAGATGGCGCCAGTTATGTCACTGTGATGTTTGGTACCAACGATAATGTGAAAAAGAAAGTTGACCGAGCGAAAGTTGGTGAGCTTTCATTACTCGTGATGAATCTTGAGAAATATCTAAAGCTGCTAGGTATCGATCTTGATGTAGTTGTCGGGGATCAACAAACTGAGATCAGTCTGTGGACATTGAAACTTTTCCCCGTGGTGACCACAATGACGTCGTCATTAGCGACTTCTTTGAGCATGTTGAAAGTTTTGAATGGAGAAATGTCAGAATGTACAATATTGAAAGACGTCACTGTGTGGTTGTCTATGAAAGATATCCTACGCACGAAAGATGTTAATACTATGTTAAAGTATAGGAACAAGTTGTACAAAAAAATCAAACAATCGCTTACATATTAATGGTGGCAAAATATAATTCAAAAGTCACTTACAAATAAGTTGAAAGACGTGCAATGTCAAAATAGTCATATATTAATGTGAAATATAACGGAAAATGGGAAATCATATCTTATTCAAATGGTGAAAATGGGAAATCATATCTAATTCAAATGGTGAAAATGGGAAATCATATCTTATTCAAAATCATATCTTATTCAAATGGTGAAAATGGGAAATCATATCTTATTCAAATGGTGAAAATGGGAAATCATATCTTATTCAAATGGTGAAAATGGGAAATCAAATCTTATTCAAATGGTGAAAATGGGAAATCATATCTTATTCAAATGGTGAATATGTTAGACTAGTGAATGTGCAATATTATGTAGACAAACATCAATATAGGAAATCACCTGTACTAGTTTCTTTCACATGTATTTCTATATTCAACATGTACATTCCAAAACAGTATACACATGTATATCAGGTATACATTTATCCTAAATAATGAGATTTTAGTCAATGTTTTTTTTATAATGGGCAAAAGTTACAGAATATACTGTAAGTTGAGCTTGAAAAAAATAAATTGTTAATGTGCTCAAATAAGTATCTAATTTTTACTACAATGTATATTCATATTTGAAATTAAAAAAAATATTTTTGGTTAGGCATTTTATTTATTAAGAATTTAGAATGTTTAGTCTCACTGAGAAAATATTTTAAGTGGGCCACATATACATAAAAACAGGAGATTACGGGATATTCAACTATTAATATAGTTATATTATATGCACTGATTATTATAATAGGCAGGGTTGTGATTTGCATTTTACCCTGAATGATATTACATATGATACAGGGCTTAGACAACTTATATTGTTTTATATATTATTATTATATTTTTTTTGTGCAGCATCTACTCTTCTTCATTTTATATTGTAAAACAACATATTTTTATGGTTAATATTATACTAATATTTTATTCTTTGAGATGAATACCTGTGCTTCTTTCACAAAGTGATATTCCACGAAGCCTGGATCGGAGTGCTAGTTGAATAACATCTTGTAGAAGTGCCACAGGACAGGTATATCCCATGGTTACAAGGATATACGTAGATTGAATTTCACGAGAAGGTATATTTTATTTATGGATCAAGATATCATATTTTATTAAAAAATTTCCGAACTATTCGATGGTTTAAGAAGTGATATTCAATGGTTTCAAAAGTGATATTTGATGGTTTCGAATTTTTTCAAAATTATGTTTTCAATTTTGATTAAGTTTCTTTTCAATTTTTTTGTTATGTGCTCACTCCTGAATATATAAATATCTAATCATGGATATAAATTATATTTTTCAAAACCACGGGATATTCCTATATTATGCAAAATAGGATGAAATATTTGTTTTATTATATTAATGTCAAGCTCACTATCATTGTCATTATCATCATTCTCAATGTTATAAATTCATATGTTTAAACATGGGCCTTCAACAGGCTCTTGAAAGGCCATGGTTTAAACATTGAGGAAAACATTTACGCAAGTTAAAAGCTCTGAGTATGTACCATGATTATATATTCTTGATAAACACTGAATAAGTTATTTTTTGATAATTTCCAGAATTTTGACCAGCCATACAATTGAATACCTGTGACTCATTAAATGAATCGACATTATTTTCATTATAGGTAAAACTATAAAATGGAATAGATTATTTGTTTTAATATTCCTTCATACTATGAACTTATAGTAACAGCCAATGAAATGTAAGCATCAAAGGGAGATATCACAGGATATTTCACCCCTGTTTAACCAATCACAGAATGAGAAACAAGAAAGTGAGGTAATATATTGAATTATTTATATTATGTATATTTGGTGGATCAGTAATATTTATCCTACCTAGTGGGTGATACTTGTATTTTACGCAAATATTTATATTAATTATATAATTTGAATATTATTATACTATTAAAAAATACATGGACATTGTATTTTGTAATTAAGGGAAAATAAATAAGGGGTATATAAAAAACTATATTATGTTTGTATGTCATTCAGTTTTTATGAAAACACCAAAAAGTGGTGACATTTCGTTATGGTCTCCGTTTTTTTGTGGCGGTGATAGACAATCGGCGGATGGCGGGCGGTGGGTGACAGTTGGCATTTGTAACAACTTAACAAATACTGTTTAGACTGACTTCAATTTTTTCAAAATCATCTAAAAGTTTTCAGAAGTTCAAATCTGACTTTACATTCAAGATTTGACCTTCAATGACCTTCTCAAGGTCAAAAAAGGTCAAAAAGGTCTTTTTTCAACTTGCTTCAAATTGACCAATTTTTTTTTTCAAAATCATCTACAAGTTATCAGAAGTTCAAATCTGACTATACATTTGACTTTCAATGACATTCTCAAGGTCAAAAAAGATTTGACCTTCCAAAAAAGGTCAAAAAGGTATTTTTTTAACTTGGTTCAAGTTGACCAATTTTTTTTCCGAAATCAAAAGTTCAAATCTGACTATACATTTGACTCAATGACATTCTCAAGGTCAAAAAAGATTTGACCTTCAATGACCTTCTCAAGGTCAAAAAGGTCTTTTTCAACTTGCTTCAAACTGATCAATTTTTTTCAAAATCGTCTACAGAATTCTCAGAAATTCAAATCTGACTTAACATTGAATAGGCCTTATATTGTGTGCAACTAGGTGGTGGCATTTTGTCATGTTAAAGCCTTGTTTTTAGGATTGATTGTTCAGATCCGAAGGAAAAAAGTATGTCAATGACCAAACATTTACTAGCACTTCATATGATTTGTATGAGACAGAGCAGAACAGCTACACATTTATCATGTGGTAATATGTGAAAATATGCAGAAAAATTGAAAATCTCATTTGACAGATCACATGAATGACTTCAGGTTAATTTGTCAGATTCTATACTAGAGAAACATCAGATTAATTTGACAGTTTCTATACCAAGGAGAATGGACAATTTCCAAACTAGAAAGAATTCAGATTAATTTAACAGAATCTATACCAAAGAAACATCTGAAATATTCGTCAGATTCCAAACTAGACAGACTTCAGATTACTTTGACAGTCCATACTAGAGAGACATGAGATTAATTTGACAGATTCCATACTAGAGAAAAATCAGATTTTAACAGATTCCATGTTCGCGAGATTTCAGATTAATTTAGCAGATTCCATACAAGAGACTACTTCAGATTAGTTTATCAGATTCGATGCCAGAGAGACATCAGATTAATTTGACTAATTCCATACTAGAGAAACTTCAGATTAATTTGACAGATTCCATACGAGAGAGACATCAGCTTAATGTGACAGATTTCATACAAGAGAGATTTCAGATTAATTTGACAGATTTCATACTAGAGAGACATCAGATTAATTTGACAGATTCCATACTAGAGAAAAATCAGATTTTGAGATTCCATACTAGTGAGATTTCTGATCAATTTGACATATTCCATACGAGAGAAACTTCAGAATAATTTGACAGTCCATACTAGAGAGACATCATATTTATTTGACACATTCCAAAATATAGAGAGACATCAGATAATTTAACAGATTCCATACTAGAGAGACTTTAATCTGACAAATTACATACACCAGACTTGTGATAAGTTTGACAGATTTTATACTAGAGAGACTTCAAATTGATTGGACAGAATCTATACTGGGAAGCTGTCAGATTTATTTGATAGAATCCATACTAGAAAAACTATCAGATCCTCGAGCGTGCCCCGAAGCTTTCAGTATTGATAGGATTGAATTACACTGTACAGGCTCCCCTTTAAAGGTATTTATTATTTTTTGTAATGGTTGTATTGTTGTTGCTATGAATGATTGACACATTTACATGTATGCTACACGATAATGTACTTTTACTGTATGATGTTATGCAACAACAAAGTAATCGAGGTCATTTTCTCCAATTGTGTTAATATAATGTGTTAATAAAAAGCTACACTCCCCCCTCCATAAGTTTGAGATCCGAAAGCCTTTATTGGATACCATGTCAAAGACTGTTGAATCGTTAAACTTTTAATTTTAAGTTTGTCTCTTAATACCTTTAATTCAGTTTATGCATCTTTGACTTCCATGGTGTTGTAATACAAAAGTAAGAGCAATCGAAACCTTGTGACTCGAGATGCCGTTTATGACTAGTTTGAGTTTATAGTCGCCAAACATAATCAGGCTTTGAAGAGTAACCCAAGAGAAATTCCTGTTGCCAAACTTATGAAGGGGGTGTACATTAATGAAATGACCACTGTAATCAAAACAAGTGATCAATCACATATATAAATAGATGATTGTTACAATGAACTATTAATTGGATAGCTGATATCATCAAGAACCTGTTCCTGTAGCCTTGGGACGTGTGAATGTTGCACATGGCAATACCAAACGAAATGTCGTCTGCTTAACTTACCGAATTTTCTTCCGTTTATGCCATTCAATCCCGTTTTTTCAAAACTCATCCTTTTTGCAGTTTTCTATGTGACACTGACGGATGTTATGTTTACTTATTCTACTAATTGTTTATTCCACATTTTTAATAATCTTAAACGTTTGCATTTTATGTGGTTTCCATGGTGAAAAATTACTCAAGGGTGCACGAATTACTTTGTGCTATGTCCATACCCGTTGTGCATGCTCAGAGATCATTTGAATTTACAACCTTTTTTCAGTATAGGTTCAGTACAAAACAATGGCAAGTGGATAACTTTATTTAATTACTTCATCACTCACATAGACCCTGACGATAGGATTGAAATTTATGGTACTTCCACAACCAGGCGTTTTGAGAAGGTCCCTCAAATTAACCAATACAATTAATTAAATCATAGTTATGATTGAAAGATCGCTGGCAAATCACTTGCTACTTTAATATGGACGGAGTAAGTCATATTTCCAAACTTTCGGCCTCTAAATTTTAAAATCGTATCGGGCAATGATACCAAGATTGGATTAGGCCTAACTTACGCTAAAACTCAAAACCCAAAATGGATTTACGAATTAATAAAACTGATGTGCAGAGAGAACAGAAGACTGATGATCAGATAGAAGTAGAAGATGCTCTTGCGGTTCTCGAAAACATGCAGTAAGTTAACGTATCCATGGTATTTTTCAATCCACATCAGAAAATATTGCTAAGAATACAAAAAGCAGGCCCGTAGCCAGGGAATGGGGTTCTGAGATTTTGTGCCAAAAATTCTTAAAAAAACATGCAGGTTTTCACCATTCTGAGTACTTTTCAAGGAATTTTGGCCGTGTTTGGACCAAAGTTGTCAAAAGAGAACCCCCCTGGATTAAAAAATAAACCCTTGACAAATCCTTGGGCTACGGGCCTTAGATGCTGGCACAGTGGAATCGAATATGCTTTCTAACAAAGGCACCGTGGTTTGAAGAGTGCTATGTTGTCGTCATCTTGGGAGGGCGTGTGTTCGTGATACTGGACCCTAACTTTCGATTCAAGTATGGCGAAATACGGGAATTTTTGTAACCGGAGAAAAATATCTATCGAGTATGTATTTTGACAAATTAAGTCCTTACTAAACCACCGAATATATGGTATACAGTATTTTTGTAACCAGTGAAAAATCGGTCTTTACTGTACCAAACAGAATGCGGCTTTTAACCATGAGCACGGTGACTATCCATGCCCCGTATATCTCGAGAAAGTTACCGCTGACATCGCGAGCAATGAGCTCATGTTAGAAGCGGGGCCCTGAGATGAGAGATATGATAAAATATAGTTATAGTTGAAGAATGTCGTTGCCCTGCAACTGAAATAGCCATTGTACCATAAAATAAAGTTGCACTTGTGTCATGGAAAATTTTATATTTCAATTTAATCATATCTATCAAGGCCCATTCTGATACTCAGACCATCTCTGTCATGTACAAGAACATTCTAGAAGGAAACTGAGAGAAGGCTGTGATATCTCACGATCGTGCTCAAGGCCCCGCTTCTAGTATGAGCTCATTGCTCGCGATGATGCTCGCCCCTTAAACCCAAAAGTGGGCCCAAATTTCGAAATTCTGAGGCCCATTTTCTTCAAAATTAGGCCTGAAATTAAAAATAAGGCCTTAAAAGGCCCAGCAATGATCAAAAGGCCCACTTTTTGGAGCCTTAAGGCCATTTTGGCATTTTTTGGGCCCAATTTTTTTTCTGGGCCCACCCAAAGGGAGGGGGCCCGGGTCCCCAGGCCCCTCCCCCAAGATCCGCCAGTGGTGCCCGTTCAATCCATTTCAAAAACTTGACAAGCACCCTGTAAATGGAATAAAAAATCCTATAATTCCCTGATGATATATTTTTATCCACTGACTCATGGATAGGATATTGATATTTGCACCCTCGCGCTACGCTATCATAGGTTATCCCATGGTTGCAAAGATATAGATCGAATAATTATCACATGAAGATAATATTTGGACCGAGATATCATACTTTAGCAGAAAAATCTCAAACCATCGAATATCACTTTTAAACTATCGAATATCATTTCTTAAAAGGTGATATTCGATAGTTTCGAATCAATATCTACTCATGGATATAAAATTATAAATGATATTTTTACAAAACTATATGATATTCCTTTAATCATCCATTCTCAATAAGAATGCAAATTCCAGGTATGAATCTGACAAAAATTAAAGTAGCTTTAAATGGTTAAAAGTTGATGTATTTTTATTTGAATATATGTTAAGTATCTAAAGTGAAAATATCTTCATCAATCTCATACCCCTTCATGGAAAAGTCACATGTTGAAGCTTATCTAGTATTCATTAAAAAATGTAAGTCTCTGTCATTTACGTTATAGGGGGTTGTCGAAGCAAGCGACCTATATTTTCATTCAACATATTATTCTCATGTCTGTTTTTGTACCTAACAATAAGGATATATTTTGCCTTAATACTAAATCATACATCAGGCATTTTGAAGATACACAAGTGGAAAGAATTCACATTGAAGTCAACAATTACATGTGACTTATTATTTCTTTTCACAAACAAAACCTAAGTGCTACATGTCATTCCAATTTTATAAAAACTCAGTTTGATAACATTAAATTTATATTTCTTTTCTGATTAGAAATAGTGTTCAGAATAAAATGATAGCCGTATCTTGGTGTTTGATATGCCATACAAAATGTATTTGAGATTTGTATATCGTTACACCCTTGGTAACGTATATGATCCAAAAAAAGTAACATCGTAGAATGAGTCATAGCATATGTGATCATGGTTAAACCATCAACTGGTGCTTCTTTTATCATGTATACACTACATTTTAACCAATAGTAACATTTAAAAAACATAGTTCTGTGGACCATCATGTAACGTAAATGATGGTGAAATTAACTAACTTTTGCAATAGAAACATTAAAGCTAACACAAACATTATTTATGCACAAAACACGTAATGAATTAATATATTGTCACATACGCTATATGTTGGAATGAATATATACAGGATTAAAGGGACATAATCTTTCTTCACACATTTGTAATGCTAAATCCTTTGTAACGTAAGTGATTACAAAACTTACAATCACAAGATCAAAACTATACTATATAATTTGTGATTATCGTCAAAAAGTAACAACATTCAGTGTCTACTCTTATATCATAGGTACATATGAACTCCTGAAAACGTTTCTAAATCCTAGCTTGGACATATAGATCCCATAGAACATGAGTTTAAATCTCAGGACACAGATCTAGAGTTTAAATAGCACTTTAAACTTCCCTGTTGGGATTGACTCTTCTACTACACACTCCAAATCTGAGACTCTCAGCCAAATAACGTAACATTCTAGAGACCATTGGAGATTCTTCTTTTCCTAAAAAATAGTATTTATCATCATCAGTATCACATGCAGTGCCTTTTCGACATACCAACAGTATTGTAAACTGCAGTGAAAAAAATCGCCAAGATGTAGCTCTTTATCTCCACTCTCAGTCCGCATGATGGCCCTGTCAGAATACTCTTGGTTGTCTCTTCTTGTATGTCATTCCTGGTTCGTTTCATTTTGTGCGGTGCACTTTTAACACTGTTTATTTGCTTCAACAAAATATTCCTTTGCTTGTGGTAAACGTCGAGTACTCATTTCATTTTTGTCCAGCCAGGCAAGGCCCTTAAGCTTGTATCATCTTCCATCGCCTTTAGTAATATTATATCAACTAGACTTGAACACTTTTCAGGCATTTCCCCGCCAGTCATGTTGCGTCTGCTTCGCCTCTTCAACTACGTGTTTTCCTCGTAGTAATCTTCTCCTCAACTCTAGGGATATCACTATGCTAAAGTTTGCATCGCATCACTTTTCCCCTGCACTCTTTGGTGTTTTTGTCGTGCTTGGACCCTTGGTTCTATTTTTCTCTGCTTCTGTAAGATCCTTGGGAATGATTTGTGATTGTTTTTTCCCTGTTTATCTATGTTCAGGGAGCTTTGTTTTCTTATGGCTACGTACGTCCCCAAGTTCTACTTATCCATTTTCTAAAGAGCCATGCATGTCCTTTTTGCAAAATTCCAGGCAAAATTAATATGAACTATAAATTGTGTGTTACTTGTACCACTGCCATAAACACGGTCACAATCATTGTTATCGGCATTACTTGGGTCATTGCTAACAGTCTCTCTTCTTTTTGATTTGTCTCCTGTATTATTACGCTATGATACTATGTACCGATCTCATGTACATTTACGTTGCAAACAGTGAAAATAATGCTAAAACGGCCACCTGTTGATGCCTTGAAGTGTCATCAATTGTTATTTAATCCAAATAAAGTAAACATTATTTTGTAGATTTAGATACGGGCTTTCAGGTCGTATATGCATTTTAGTCATTAAATTAACAAGAACGCTAGAGTATATGTGTTAATAGGGTATGAAATTGAAATGAAATAACGAAATTAAATATGAACACGTTAATGATAAATGACTTTCCGCTATCAGTATTAATGACTATCGGCTACTCAGAATAATTAAAATTGCCTGAACTACATGTGAAGAATCTTTCTATATAACCCCTTGAATGGTCTAATTCACTACCGTCCTCAAAAACCGATCATTTAAAATATTCTTTTTCAAAATACTATCACGCCACGACCTGAGAGCATTTTGTTCTTCACTATTTGCTGTAGCGCTGATATGACGTCGTATTTCTCTATTTTTGTAAAAAAATCGTCGATGGGACAAATTATGTCACGCACATATTAAACAATAACTAAAGATCTAAGAAGGGATGATAGTCATGTGATATATCATTGGAATCTTGAGTTTATGAGCATTTTTATGATAATATAATATCATATATTTTCAAAGTTAATATTCATTCTTTTCTTCCCTGGATTCAGCCTACTAAAATTCAAAGGAAAAAAATCGAGATGGGACAATTCTCTGTCACGCACGTTTAAAGGAAAATCTCATACTTAGCTTGATCTAAAGATGTTAAACGTGATGAATTATAAAATATGGGCTATGAGCATTCTCTACATACCAAATATGTTATCATTTGTTTTCTTGATATCATTTTAGACTGCTATTAAAAACACCCTAATCAATTTTTACAACGTCAAAATATTTTAGAACAAAATAATGCTGAATTTGACCAAGTCATATTACCTGGTCCAAACACATGCAACGCAATGCAACTGAACTTAAAATTATAGAATATGTAGTATAAGGGCAATACTTTTATGACATTATAAAAAATCTAGTTGAATGTCACTAGAAAAACATAATTTCGTGTATTGAAATGACGAGAGTCTTTGAAACCCGCCATATTTCTATCAATTTTTTTCTTGGAACAAAACAGACACAAGTCGCAAAATGTTTGCTATGTAAACAAAATAAATACAAAACATATATTTTTAACGTTAAGTTATAGTTACACATATATAGAATAAGTATTAATGACATCTTTTTCATAGGTTTGATTTTTAAATAAGATAATAAGGGCCTAAGGTCCGTACTTCTTTTAACAAGAGAGATACTATATTAGGTGTGATATATACCTTAAATTGTGTGGATTTACTCTAAAAAGGTGGTAGTGTTTCTTTATTCAGATTCAAATGAATATGGATACTCAAATTTCCCGCTTTATAAACTTTATTCAGAGCTAGGAGTATGGTAACCGTTATTTTCGTACTACTAGGTATCGTAAATGATGGTGTCGTAAATGATGCAAATACCCTTTTGCTGGCTGTATTATATTCAAACAATGTCAATTTAGTTAAAAATACTGATCAGCCAGGGTCACTCCTACCATACAATAAGGTGATATAACATTAATATGCTCAGACACTTATTGCCTGTGGAAACTATGATCACGTAAATGATTTTCTTATCTATAACTTCATGAAAAACGGGAATTATAATTTTCTGGCCCCCAAATCTCAACGTTTCAAATATCAACTTGTACGACGTTCTATTAAGTATTCAAATTGGAATCCAGATACGAATATGGCACATATAAAACATTAATTTTTCACCAGTTTTTATATGATTTATAGCACAAGGGGGTTGATATAAAAAAGTCTGGCGACATTTGTCAAGGAACATTTTCAACATGGTAAATATGTCAAAATGATAGTTTCTGTCATTTAACCAGAAGCTGGGATCGTCCTGTGTATAAAACACCACTTTATATGGGATGTAACGCATGAAAAGTGTTCTAATGGCACCATTGAATCCTGATTTTTGATATGGCGACAGTCACGTAACTGATGAATAGCCCTATTCTAGTACATATAATAAAATAGGTGTAACTGAGAAATTATATATTACATATGTGCTAGGTAGAGGGTCATATGTACTATTTATATGTACAACAAAAAGTGATGTTGGTAATGTAAATGCTGAGATTGAGCCCTGGGACATCGATTTTGCATTCTTATTGAGAATGGGTGTAATATGATATCATGATATGATTTTGGCTGATCAGTTTGCTGTCACCGCCTCGGTCACCGCCAAAAAGTGGTGCTATTGCACACATGTAGCTGAGACCCACTATAATGTTAGCCATGGGCATTTATATCATGCATGGGCTTTCTTTCAAAAACTCTAATTGAAAGCCCATGGTTATATTCACCGTTTTGTGACCAGCGTTCAGAGTTTGAGGTCGGTGTCTGTAACTTAAAGGAATTCGAAATATTCACAGTTTTAAAATTGCAGAAGTTTTGACTAAAAAGCGCATGCTTTGAGAAATTATCACTACTATTAGAAAATGCTTCTTCCACTATAAGAAAGAGTTAAGTTTTGCTTTAAAAGATGTCGCCTTCAGTTATTGGCGTCAAAGACAAGCAAGGTCAATTTAACTTTGTAACTTATTCGGTCTTCTAAGGGTGACAGAGTACTTCTTGTAAGCTTAATTTAAACATACAGATCGCATTTTTGAATCACTTATTTAGCAGACAATTTGTTTGTCATCATATTTGATTAAACTATCATTTGGATTATTCATGAAAAACACCTTATGAAATAATTTCGCAATCTGCTCCCCATTCACAATTCGTGGAAGCACGTGACCTTATCTTATTTACATAGTCCCATATTTGGGACATGGCCCTTCGATCTTTTCTTTAGCTCAACTTGGTGCCCTTAGCAACAACCAATCAGTGACGAGTGTAGTAAGATTCATTCATAAATCTGCTGTACAAACATTTGACAGTACACATACCGATACAGCGGTGACCAGGATAAACGTGTTTCAAAACTACTGGATATTTTTGCAGTTTACAAAGTTCTGAATCGAAGGAAACTGAGAGAAACGCTGACATTCAAGAAAGTCCCGTTGTTCAAGGAATGGCCGACGCATTATGTTTGAATACAGAAGAAGCTGACGTTTATGATGATCAGATTGTGCCGAGCACAGATGATGTATTTCTACCGGCAGAAATAATTGATGCAGAAACGAGAGTGAGTCCCGATTCGCAGGCAAGTTTGAAGGCAAGTGTAACGGATTTATGAATGAATCCTAAATTTTCAATTGATCCCCAAAGTTCTAATTACAGTGAAGAATCACGACAAGACAAACTCTGGCCTAATTATAAAAAGCCCTTATTAAAAGTATGGATTACAGATAAACCATGGAACTATGAACTGTACTGTAATAATGAGAGTCTATACAGTGAAACCCATGTATTGTTAATACTAATGTGAACTAAATGTTAAAAACACTGTTTTAACAAAGCAACAACAAAGCAAGTCACATGTTTTCAATTTAAACCTAGGCAAATAAAGAAAAGACTGAATGATGCATGGTATTATTACACTGGTGGATCTGGGGGAGGGTCTTGGGTGGGCCGGCCCAGAAAAAAAAATTGGGCCTTAAAATATTTTGGGCCAAAAAACGCCATAAAGCCTAAAAAAGTGGGCCTTTTTGGCCATTACTGGGCCTTGTAAGCTCGGCCTTATTGTTTAATTTCAGGCCAAATTTTCAAGAAAATGGGCCCCAAAATTAAAAAATTTTGACCCACTTTTGGGTTTTAGGAGCCCAAAATGTTTTTACGCAAAAGCGTGGAGGATTTTTTCTCTGACCTAAAATTTGCCCCCCCCCCTTATTGGTTCCCAGATCCGCTACTGAATTGGTGGGGGCAAAACATTATAAAAATTTGCCCCTTTTCTTGATCCATTTTTCAAAAATCAATCAAATGATCATTTCCTTGTTTTTATCACAAAAACTTGAAGAACTTCATTATCCACAGAAGGAAGAGTTATTTGATATATGGGAAAAAATGTGATTATAACCAACTTATCTTTCAAAGGTGTGTAACCTTATAATGGTGAATGTGATAGGCATGGTTGCTCCCAGGCAGGGATAGCATGCTCCTCCCATCAGAAAATGTAAGAACATTCTAGAGATGTGAAAATGATATTCTTATGTAACAAATGCAGTGTCGAGATGACATTTTTCTGTTCTTGATATAATTTTGTTGTTTACAAAGTAGCTGTGGTTTCAAAATGAAAGGATTAACTATCTATTTGCAGATTTCTCTTGCATCAAATACATATCACCTTCATTTTTTTCAAAACAAAATTGCTAGTTGGGATGTTAGGCTAGATATACTATATATACGCTATAATATCACATACAAGTCCATTTTAAGCAGAATAAAAAATATTTTTATTATCATAAATTTTTTTTAAACCACCCTTTATTTATTACAATATTACATAACTCTATCATTAAAAATAAGTTTTCTGCAAAGTTCAGCATTTTTGAAAACACCCTTTTATTTCTACAAAGTTTTTGAAAGCGCAACTTTTAATTTTCTAAGGAAATAATAAAGACAGATGCCTGAGGCTTCTTCCATGACAACAAGTGGAAACAACAGCCCTGATTGGTTTAAACATTCTATCTAATTATAATACAAGAGGACTACAAAAGCAATAGAATAACTAAAACCTCATCACATATTTCAAAGCGCGTAATGAAAGAAATTCCTTTTAGTTACGGGAACTATAGTTTACAGTTAAAAAGAAATTTCCCAACAGTCACAAGTTGCATATTAAGAAGGTTTAGAAATAACAGAATCAAATAAGTATCATTTGGAGCTTAAAAGAAAAAGTAAATAAAAGGAAAAAGGCTATTCAATAATGTGGTATCCTGACCAGGTAAACAAAATTTTTGTTTTACTAATTTTGATAAATAAAAGCCAACTTTAATTTAGTAATTTAGTAAGTTTTTAGAAATGTTATCAATCTAATATAGAATATATTATTTGACTTAGTACATATTGATTGCAATTCAAAAATAAGTGAGGTGCATTTACTGTACTACAGTACAGTATACATCATAAGTTAAAGATAGATTAATAAAGATTCATTCAATTTTGATGTATATAACATTCAACATGGACAATATTTGTGATATATGTAATATCAATATTTGTGATATTTATGTAATATCATTTTTTGCGATATTTATGTAATATCATTTCTTCAAAGTTTCGCTGCACACAAGTAATTAATTTCAAATGCTGTTGACTTTTTTAATGCATTGCCAACAAAATAAATATGGATAAGAAATAAAACAGTGTCAATATCCTTGTTTAAGATCAATAAAAAATATTTTATGATATTTTAGTATCAGAAATGCATAAAGTTAGGTATCATCTAAAAAATAAAACATATCTATAAATCATATAAAGCTATAATACATGAAATATATATTTTCAAATCCTACAAGCATAAAAACTAAAATAAAAAACCAAAATCTTTTTAGAATTTTTCAAAGATCAATTAAAGTTTAAATTCTAGTATAGAATGTGCTAAAATGTTATAATATTGCTATTGACTTTGACTTATGAACGAGATTAACAGCTAAACAGATCAATATATAAAACAGGAATTACAACCTGTTGATTCCTGAAATCATCTATGAACATTTAATTCTAAAATGACTTTACCTTCTAAATATTTGATCACATTATTGGACCAACAACAGACTCTAAGTGTAATCCTATTTCAATCTGCGTTCTTAAAAGTTAAGTATTTGAGAATGCAATCTCATTAAATCAGACTTTAGAAGTGTTGTTGAAATTCAGGTAGAAAATAACCAAGTAATATTTTAAATCTATATTGACATGTACAGGGTGTTAAGTGACTTTAAATGTTGAACAATCTATTTTGACTTTCACATGGACCACCTAGAGGTTTATTTACTACATATGCTAACTGTATGAAGGAGACTTTTTCCCGAGAACATCACAGATCTCGAGTCTTAATTTTCAATTGTATTTCATGTTTCCCGAAATATGTCCACTTTTTCACAAAGAAAAGGTTTTGGTAAATAAGCATTGTACCATATTTCAAAAATTAATAATATGTACTTACATAATAATATAATATGGTATAATATAATATAATATAATAAAATACAATACTTACATGTTGTTTTAATTTTTTATAATAGTTTTAATTCTAATCCTTTAGGGCAATTTGGACCTGGATGACTACCTACCCCAAGCTGACCTTGATGCTTTTGGAAAGCCACGACGGGAAAGCGCATCCATGTTTGATGAATTTTTCGGCCAAGCTGATCCCTTAGACATCAACGTGAATGTGAACCTAAAGGTCTATCCAAGCCCAAAGTTCGGAAATTACCAGCGAGTCCGAACTGGAGTCTCATCCCAAGTTAGTAGATATATGCTCACTCAGCATGTTGGTTACCATGGCAACAGCGATCAGAGTACGGTTCCTGTTAACCCAGAATATTCCTACCACCAGGGGGAGCTAATGGAGGAAGACAATGGTCTGAGTGTTGTAGAAGAAATCTTCGGAAAGCAGCCAGATGTTACGATGAATCAAGATCACACATCAATTTACAAAAATTGCGGACCAAAATCACAAACTGAAAATGTGCCTGTTAAAAAAGAGCACGAAGCATATTGGGAAGAAATGAGAAATTCTATGGAACAAGGGCAACCCATGTCTGGAGTGGACTGTTCCCAATCACATACGGAGTCACACCCAGGTGTAACCCTAAATGGACAGATGGCATCACCTGTAGAAAACCATTTCTCGTCTGCTATGTCGCCTCTGATGTCACCTCCAAGTTTTATACAGTCACATAATCTTACCCCCTCAAATATTGCACCAGCGGGTGGTTCTTTAATCTCATCATCCTCATCAACAGCGCCATCAGTATCATCACCATGTTCCGTGGCGTCATTTGACTCGGGCATCTCAGATGTGATCTGCAGCGAGCCTGTTAATTACACCGTGGTGAAAGTGAAGACCGAACCAACCCTGAGCAATCACTGTAAATTCACGATGCCCCCACATATCGAAAGTCTTACCAATTACAAGGGTGTCAAAAATGAAGCAGGGACATTCGAGATGGAGTGCCAATATGGACAATTGAATAGAAGCAGCATATCATCGGAGTGTCAGTCACCGGGGTTGATGATTTCCTCCAATTGTTTACACCAGTTGCCACGACAACTGTACCCTCCCCCACCCCCTTATAGTACTCTCCCACTTACACCCCCCAATTCCCAACCCGGCTCCCCTAATAATGAATATACAACTTTCTCACCCCCACCCCCATACCCAGGGCCCGGGGGACATAAATTAATGATGAGCACGGCACATCCAATAATCGCTCCCGTGAAGGGAGTCACAAATCCGCATCCCAGTAAAACCTACCCAGGGTGCAGCACAATTCGCTACAATCGAAAAAACAACCCAGAGCTAGAAAAAAGAAGAGTCCACTTTTGCGATTTCCCAGGTAAGTTGATTTATGATCCATTAATGTTATTTCTTAAAATAGTTTTGGCTTATTCCTCGTTATTTCTCTCTGCTTATTTAAATTCCCAAGATTTATTTTCTGTACATAATTTAATTAGTAATTTCAAGTTGTTTCATTGAGATCAAAACCCTCATTTTAAAACTGGTGATACCATTTAATGATGATGTCACATATATCTGTGATGTCAATTAAATGTTGCTGATGTCAGCTAAACAAATGCTGTTTTATCAATTCACAAGCAAACTGACATGTTTTGTTGCGTTCATTTGTAACTAAATGGCAGATAAAACACAAGTCTCTAAGGTTTTATTTTTTTGATTTTCTTGGATCGAAAACAGTTTTAACTGTCAGTAATCTGACATATGTTATTGCAATTCAGTTGTATTTTAATAGCATATAAAGCATCAACTCTCAAAGGTACTCTCTCTCTCTGTTTGATTGTTTCTTGACTAGAATAGCGGATATTGAGTTGTAAATGTACCCATTAACCCACCATCTTCTAATAACCCTATATATCAATTAGCGTAATCAGTTTTAATTGTTATTCGCGTGTTTGTGTTTTTATGTCCAGTTTATTTCATTTGACGGACTCGTTGGCACTTGATGCGTTATCATCTCTGATAGCCACTCTATAAAGTATTGCCCCTACACATAATACACTCCTGGTCGCTAATTTTCTCACTTTAATAGACTCTACACATTCTTATTTGCCTTGTTTCACAAAAAGAGAATTGAGTACATGTAACATCTTTTCTGAAGAAAATGTATTAAAATGAGACAACATTATTGTTAAATCAATTTTTTACAAATAATTCACGTATTGGAACTCGAGTATTGACTCTTTTACATTTTAGGTACTTCACTTTTTAACTTTAAATTTCAGGTTCATTAAGATGTATTCATTTTTTATTTAAATGTATTTTTTTCAAAGAACTAACTCATCTATATAGCTCAAATTGAACTACCTTGATTGCTAAGATTTCATGTTTTTATTCTGTTTTTTTTTTATTCTTAAAACTGTTGTTGAATTCTGTAGCTGTTGTTTAATTCTGTAGCTGTTGTTGAATTCTGTAGCTGTTATTGAATTCCGTAACTGTTATTGAATTCTGTAGCTGTTATTGAATTCTGTAGCTGTTATTGAATTCTGTAGCTGTTGTTGAATTTTGTAGCTGTTGTTGAATTCTGTAGCTGTTATTGAATTCTGTAGCTGTTGTTGGATTCTGTAGCTGTTGTTGAATTCTGTAGCTGTTATTGAATTCTGTAGCTGTTGTTGAATTCCGTAGCTGTTATTGAATTCCGTAGCTGTTATTGAAATCTGTAGCTGTTGTTATAGCTGTTGTTGAATTCCGTAGCTGTTATTGAATTCCGTAGCTGTTATTGAAATCTGTAGCTGTTGTTATAGCTGTTGTTGAATTTTGTAGCTGTTATTGAATTCCGTAGCTGTTATTGAAATCTGTAGCTGTTGTTATAGCTGTTGTTGAATTTTGTAGCTGTTATTGAATTCCGTAGCTGTTATTGAAATCTGTAGCTGTTGTTATAGCTGTTGTTGAATTTTGTAGCTGTTATTGAATTCTGTAGCTGTTGTTGAATTCTATAGCTGTTGTTGAATTCTGTAGCTGTTGTTGAATTCTGTAGCTGTTATTGAATGGTTGTTATGCAATCCTGTCGCCTACTCTCACAAAGTTAACATATTTAGCATACATTGCACTTAATACTAACCAAAAGAGAGTATAAATTGAAAACAAAGTTGTAAAGAACATCATTGCTTAATGAAGTTGGTAATATGATGGACTAGGAAGTTTCCTAAGGACATAATAAAGATTAATAAAGTATAATAGATATCATCATTACAATAAATTTATATTATTTTAATAGTCGAATGCCATCATAGCACAACACTTTCATTATTGCATATTAATTAACAATCGCCTTTGATAAGGACATCCTGTCTGATTATTTCAATAGTAATTTAACAGCAGATATAGGAAGATCTCATTCTGAGAAGTTAATGGATGAATAAACATAAAATAGATTCATAGATTGAAGATTTAATTTTACTTTTATTTGCCAAATTTTCCATATAATATTTCCCTTTCACATGAGTTAATTACAAAGTAAGAATTTATTTTGATTAACTAAGACATATGCTAAGTTCCCATCATGTAAAACAATTGCAATAAATTGCTTTAGTTGATATAAAATAGGACTAGAATCAGATAAAATTATGTGAATATGCCACAAGTAGGACATTAACCTCAGTGGTACCATTCGAAAGCAGCATGTTCCAATCAAAGGTTATTTTCAAATGACCTGATTTTAAAGTAAAATCATATGAAGTTGGAATTTTAAAAAATATACCAGTAACCTGTTGATACTAACTGTAACATAGCAATGATATAGCATAACTGTAGCATAGCAATTACAAAAATAAATTACTCATTCTTTAGAATAATGAGTATTTAAATAATGAACACTTAAACAATGAAAGTTTAAATAATGAACGTTTAAAAGTTACTTTGTTTCACTTTGTAACAGTTAACACATATTTAGAACAAAGGGTTTGTGAGTAAAATAGTATGATTAATGCTTGTCATAGTTTGATAGACAAGAAACAGACTATTTTTCACTTGTCAGCATGAATGTCAGAGGAGTTCCCTTGTCCCGAAGTCTCTTATTTGGTCATAAAATTTCATTCGCACCATGCATATATTCCATGAAATTTCTCTCAATTTTAATTAAGTTCAATAAAAATTTGGTTTGGATTTCTTAAATACAGAATCTTATTCTTATTGAATTTGGTATTCTTGAATTTAATTGTTAATTTGATTTTTCACTCTTTTATGAATTTTAAAATGAGTTATTTACATATTTTAAGCTTCAGGGGACATCCCAGAACCTGGAATTACCCTGGCTCAACCATTTAAAGAGAATGTTCACGATTAATGAATCCTTGACTCATTTGATGACACTCATGCACTTTTTTGGGAGATAAACACTTTATCCTCTAAAGTCCAACTCTCAACCCAAGTATTTTTTTCAAATGAGTGTCCCCAGGAACTATTTTTATTTATGATAGCACGGATAAAATATTGATAACAAATAACAACTGAATAGAAGGAATATAATTTGTTTTGCCTTTTGGACCAATGGGGAATTTGAAACAAAAGTGTCTGATTTATAACTAAAATAATGGAGAGTTTCTCGATCTGGGTTAGCGAGAATTGATAATAAAGAGTCCCATAATACAGTCCTGTATTGTTTTTTTTAATCTGGTACAATTCATCATATCACCTCACGTGATTCTTTCCTCCATTTCGTTAAATAATTAATTTATCTCGTTATTAAATAGATTTGACTTTATTGTGGCGATATAAAACAATGAGTGGTGAATTGAAAACGATTTGGACATTCATTGTTTCACTAAATAGGAACACGATATTTACTAATGGTTCATGAAATTGATTTTTATTTGAGTATCTCTCATGGGATTTTATGTATCAATTCTAGATGAGATGAAGAATTATGTGTTTGGTCACTTATAAACATTCTAAACACTTTGAGACACCCTTTCGTGAAATGCGTAGGAGTCATGTTTTGAAATGGAAAATAGAGTGGAAAAGAGTGGAATTAGCAAGGAATGAAATATATAGACATGTAGTCAACACTCTAAATTGTTTAGAAATGCAAAAAAATTAAACGCTTTATTCAAATTTTAGAGAGAAATTCCATGAAATCAACAGGCGCCAGGTAGAATCAGATGGCAATGATTCAATCAATTTATGAGAATTATATTAAGTACTCAGCTGGGTTTAATTCACTGATAGCTGGCTATTGTTATTTCTGAAATGAAACATTTCTGTTTAGTATTCATTTCTATAAAACATTTGTCATTGAAAAAAGTAGGCCAGAAATATTACGCAATATCTGAAAAATCCCTCTGGCCATACAAGTAAATATATTCAACATTGATTTGTAATTTGTGGTCAAGACCTGAATCAAGCATTAACATTGTTTTTTTTTTATGTTTTGTAGGTTGTAGAAAAGCGTATACAAAGAGTTCTCACTTAAAGGCCCACCAAAGATTACATACTGGTAAGTAAAGATAAAACCTATTTATAATGCTTTAAAACACTCTTACTTTTCCCATCTTGACAGTCTGGGTTTTGAAGAATTAATCCACTAATTTTCCCCAAAATTCAAAAATATGTATGTTTTTGCTCAAAATACGATATAAAATGTGGCAGATTGGCCATTGCAGTAAAATCAACTCAGGGAAAATATACAAATGTCAGTATTTATATACCACCCCAGGAGTCAGTAATTATGTTAGAGATGGCCCCTTAAAGTACAATTAACAGGTAACCCAAGTAAAGGTAGCTGATTGTTCAAAGTCCTAGCAACCACATTGTGTACTCATCACCTAAAACACTAAAAAATCACCGCAAGAAATCTTAAGAAAAATATCAAAAGTTTGTAGATATTAAGCTCTTGGTGTTTGGTAAACATTTAGATTCAAACACAATAATATCTTAAAGTAGAAAGCTAACAAGCAAGAGTGAGAGTACGAGGTCCTAGATGGTACGCATCGGGTAAAAACAAACTTTATTGAACATCCAATAATAGCACATTTTAACGAGTGTACATTTCTTTGATCTTATGCCATGTTGATGTTTATTTATTTTGATTTTTAAGACGGGCTAATTTAGGAAAATGTATTTGAAAACACTTAATTAATACCCGAATGTTTGATATGTAAATCCATAAAATGTTATTTTCTAAACCAACTGAGATAATGTGCTTGATTCCCTTTGACCTGTTCACTAAAATTTATAGGACTGTTTTAAATGTTCTCATTCGTGATTGGAATATGTTTACCCGGTGACAAATAGTACAATAACATCATTTCGAAGGGCCCTTGGTCCAATATTTCACTATATTGCCCGGCAAGGTGGTAATAATATTCGATTTGTTGTTTGAACAGTTATTTATTCTTTCATTTATTTACATGTATTTTGTTCATCTTTGTCTTCCTTCTCTGCTTCACATACATATACAATACCACGTTTACATCCATTTTTATTATCAAAGGATGTTAGATGCAATTCCCATCAAATACCAGAGTCATTAAAACAGGTGTTCCCAGTTAAAGTATCTCATCCAAACTTGATGTATCAATTACAAGATAACCCCACTCTGCAACACTCTGCAATAATCATAGAAGAGACACATAGGAAGTTGTGTGTTTATTTGTTGGTGGTACTACTGGCAGGAAACTGTCCTGTTGGTGGGTTCTGACTAACCACAAATTGTCCATAACTCCCTTGCATTTTGTATCAGTATCCACTCTTATCTAGAGATAATTCAATTATCACCCATTATTTCAACAATTCAAATTTTTCCGGAATTCACCATGTTAAAAATGCTACGGATGAAAAATTCTGAATTTGATGCAGTCACATGTTGTATTTTCACAAAATTCTAGGAAGTCAGAAGTTTTAATTTTTGACATCTCATCTCAAGACTCCTCATAGCATGGGGGACGCTTAGTTAATTGAAGCATAGTAATTCTTAGACTTCACACAGTTGGGAAAAATAAGCAGGAACCTGTTTTCTAAATAAATGAAGCAACTTCAAAATTAGTCATCTAATTACTTAAACATTTTCTGGATAGCAACTGACAAACTAAAATCATATCATGTCATATCATATTATAATTTATTCCATAGTTAGCATGATATTAATAGGATAACATGTGAAAATAAAAACGGTATTTTTGTAATCAGTGGTAAAATATGATATTTTTGACAAATTTTCACTTAACCATAACATACGATTTTTTAGCCATGACATACGACGTCGTATGCGATGGTTTATGGATTTTTGCTACTTCAGACTCAAAACGAGGCTAAGTGTCAACATCGCCGGATTGTTTGGAAATTCGAATTAAATAACTTAATTTCCGACGATTCTGATGATGACTTTAACTATGGAATAAAAAGAACATCCTATGATTTACTCGTGATATGATTTTAATCCACTCATGGATATTGATATCTACACTCTCTCGCTACGCTCGCTCGTGCAGATATCATATCCATTCGTGGATAAAAATCATATCACTCATAAATCATAGGATATCCTCTATATATCATATCATACATCATTTGATATCATATCAGATCATATACAGATATGAAATAATTATAAAATCACAAAGCATACAAATAACTTATTTATTTATCTATTATGCAAATAAAAAGCAACATATTATACACAATGACATCATGGGGCATATATCTGCTTATTCCATAGTTAGCATGATATTCATTGGATAACATGTGAAAATAAAAACGGTATTTTTGTGATCAGTGGTAAAATATGATATTTTTGACAAATTTTCACTTAACCATAGCATACGGTTTTTTAGCCATGACATACGACGTCGTATGCGATGGTTAATGGATTTTTGCTACTTCAGACTCAAAACGAGGCTAAGTGTCAACATCGCCGGATCGTTTGGAAAATTCGAATTAAATGACTTAATTTCCGACAATTCTGATGATGACTTTAACTATGGAATAAAAAGAACATCCTATGATTTACTCGTGATATGATTTTAATCCACTCATGGATATTAATATCTGCACTCTCTCGCTACGCTCGCTCGTGCAGATATCATATCCATTCGTGGATAAAAATCATATCACTCATAAATCATAGGATATCCTCTATTTATTACAAAAACAAATAATTAATTTGACTATTTAAAAATGAAACGTTTGTAATTAACGGAAAGCCACACACACAGACACTAACATAAACAAAATCATCACTGTTGATTGATCTTGTCTTTTCATTTCCTTAACATTTACCACCAGTCTTGGTATTAATCTTGCTTGTATCCACCTTATAAGTGTCAGGGCCTAGATTAAGTAGACGAAGCTCTCTTTTAACAAGCAAAATCAGTATGTAGGAAAGGATAGCTAGTATCCAAAATTTTAATTCAATATCTTGTAATTTTCGTTAATTTTCAAAACAAAATGAGATGTAACTTCAACACTTTTGCCAGCATTTTGAGGCTAACATTGTAATTTCATTTTTGTTCTCTTTTCTTCTCAGAAAGATGTGATCTGAATATTTTTGCTAAATGAAAAATGAAACTTGCAGGAGACTGGGAGATATCATGTAATTGATGACTAAGTTTTCCTGAATTTTAATGTTGATTTATGTTAATACAGAGTGAGATTTCCAAGGTTGGTCTAAATAGCTGTTTCTGTGGATCTAAGCATTTAGAAACTTGTATGAGGAGAACATTTGAAATGTATAAACTTTAACAAAGGGCAACATTTTAGATATTAAAACTTCAACAAGGGCAACATTTGAAATGTTATAAACTTGAACAAGGGCAACATTTGAAATGTTATAAACTTGAACTAGGGCAACATTTGAAATGTTATAAACTTGAACCAGGGCAACATTTTAGACATTAAAACTTCAACAAGGGCAACATTCGAAATGTTATAAACTTGAACCAGATCAACATTTTAGAAGTTATTATCATATGCAAGAATAGATAAACACATGAACTAAAGGTCTGTTATCATCAACAATGTTAGATTGTTATCACATCTTGTCTGATAAATGCAACTGCTTATGTCATATTTTATCAGGTCATCTCTATTCAGGTATTCATGTACTTTTTACCTGTTATTGTATGGACAGTCCGGGGCATGGCCTACAGAAAAAATTGAAAATTCCTGGAGCTGCGGGTCAGACTGTAGAGTACATACTAAATACTTCTCAAATTTGGATCTTACTGCCTACCTCATTCCCCATCAATGACATCCCTTCATGGGGACATTTAATGTATGAAGGTGATTTGCCCCAACCCTGTTTATTCACTGTACATTTGAATTTATGAATCGAACCAAAGAAATGATATGCCCTACTTAAAATGGGGTAGATCGGGGGGGGGGGGGGGGGGGGGGGGATCGGTGGGGGGGGGGAGATATTGCTACATTTCCTCTTCCATTGTATATATGGAGATAACATTAGTTGCTTTTGAATAAAGGTCAGAGAATGATTCAAATAACCCGTAAATACTCAGGTTTCTGGGAATTGTTGACTCATATGACCCTAACTGCTCAAAACACCTGTTAAACATACATGATCTATACCTGTACAGTTCATGATTTGCATCTACATATTCATTGTGAGTGACGGTGTCTTTAAAAGGATTTTATTGCACTCTTTAGTTAACAATATCATTTGACATTAGTCTTTCACTTTAGAGTTCTGTTATGTCTCTAGGCCAGGTTTTGAGGTGAGAGCATTGATAGAGGAACAATCGGCATAGTAGTCAATAGACTTCTCATTTAAAACAACCCCATACCCTTAAAAATATACCCTGTAGCTTTTAAAATTCGAGAGACATTTCCCATTGATTTTTTTTCCGAGATTTTGACAATTGTTCAATTGAAAACTAAATCATACGTTCCAGGATTTTAATAAAATTGAAAATTCTATTGGAAGTGCGAAAATATGAAAACGCTTGATCTAATGTTCTGATTGCGAGAATGTGATTGTCACTGAAATCGAACACCAATCTTAGAGTGTCTTAGTGTTTAAGAAACTGATGCTTATATGTCACTGTGTTCAGTGTCTTAGTGTATAAGAAACTGATGCTTAATGTCACCTTGTTCAACATGATTTTGTTTTTTAATTAAAGGGAGGATATCCTTTTTATTCACCTGGTGCCTTTGGACTTTTGCTGTTATTATATTGACTTGAATTACGTTGTTATTGAATTCAGCCAACAAATAAAAATTCAACCATGCACTCAACTGTAAAATAGATAATAAATATGAATATAGATGAATTTAAAAGGGCTGGATACTAAAAAATAAATCACTGAAATAAGTGAGAAAATTGGCACATAAGGCAAACCTTAAGATGAAAAAAATTAAAATTACCCACAATTAATATAAAGATGATTCAAATAAGCGGGTAATTATCATTTAATGATAATGGAAATACTGATTATTAATGAATAAAAACATGGAGTTCAAACTTCATAATTTAAATATTTTCAC